TGGAAATTTGACCAGACTGATTGCTCCCCTACTGAAAAGAGTAGGACAGTGCCGCCATCGTCTTCCTGATCCTTGGCGAATTCCTCTTTCCCTCTATCTCCAAAAAAAAATTGGTGAGGAAGTTGGTATTTGGATGAGTTCTTGGTTATCTTCTTCTTTGTATTTATACTTCTCTTTTTCCCAGCTTTGGGGGTTTCAGGAACCAAAAACATCTACACGAAACATGTCTCCACCTGCTCTTCGCCTATGTCAAATATGCACTCAAACAGCATCCAAGTACAAGTGCCCCTCTTGCCTTGCTCCTTAGTAAGCTTCTCTCTGTTGTTTTCCCCCTCGTGTTCGTTCTCACTTTTTATCTATGTCTATACCCATGTGTGGTTTGTATATGCGTGTAAGCGTATTCATTGGTGTTAATTGTTGACTCTGTTTTCGCTTGCAGTTGTTCTCTGGCCTGTTTCAAGAAACATAAAGGTGCTTATTTGCTTCTTCTTCCAAATTTCTAGATGCTACCACGTTGTTCAGGGCTTTTTTTGCCCTAAACTATGTGGATTGTCTGGTAGTTTTAACTCGAAACGTGCATTTAACAAATATGAAATCATGAAGAAAATCTCTTCTTTTTTTTTCCTAGGTGGGTGTTACAAATGTAATGATGTTATCCAATAAATGAATCATTCAAGCTTGTGCCACAAACATAACGTCCTTCGCAGTACAAGTTAGAACAAGCATCGAGGATCCACTTGTTATATAAGAAGTATTTTCTAGTTTTGTTTTCTAAAGTTATGTATTTCAACATAAAAATATAGAGTGATTAACAGTGAAATATGATGAATATAAAACTTTTCAAAGTTACTTTTAGTGTTCTAAATACGTGTTGTTTGTTTGTACTTCAGACCGCATATCCGCATGAACACAGTTTGATGTAACAAACAGAGCTGGGTTTTTTATTATGTTTTACATACTCATAGTTTTCTGTACCAATAGTGGGAATTAATGTAAAATCTTATAAATGATGCAGAAACTCCTTGTGCTAAACCAGAATCCACTGAGGAAAGGCCAAGTAAGACTTCTATTCCATTTATTGCATATACCAAATCTTTAATAGTAACAATTCTTACGACAAGGAAGAGAGTGGGAAAGAGGACAGACTTTTTAATCTTTCTTGGATGTATTTGGATAGATAGATGCAAGTGTCATGAAACTTTCATACCGTGCCCATGAATTTCAACATAAGTGCACATTGTGTGGAGTAATGTAGTAATATTTTTAAATGCATGATTTAACTATATCCAAGAAAGTGCTTGTTTTGTTTCATGTGTTTCTTTTTAAATTATGTTGCATTGGTTTTATTGTATAGCTGAAGTAATTACTTAGGTTTAACTATATGCAAGAAAGTACTTGTTTGGTTTTTGTGTGTGTGTTTTATTATGTTGCATCAGCATTACTATAGGTGAAGTAATTACTGTGCATGCAGTAATGTTGAGCTCATTTCATCACTATACCTCAAGCAAATCAATTCTCTCATTCATAAATTTTTCTTCATGCACATTTTCTCTACTAATGTTTACCTTTTGACGTGCTTTATCCCATTTTGTAGCTGTTGTGCAAGAACTGCCTATAGAAAGAGAACTCAATGTCGATGATCCAAGTCTAGTGCTGGAACAGAAGCAACTAGAGGCTATAGGTGTGGTTTGTTAACATGGTCAGAGTCAATACTACTAGCACTTTAATAAATAGTTGGGATATGCACTTGGTTCAATGTATAGTATTTTTCGGGGACATTTAATTAAAGTTCTTAAAATATAAAATTCCTATTCTTCTCACTTGTCTCCAGAAACTCCTCCTAGCTTGGTTGTATTCTTAATAATAAGGCGTTGGAATTTATACTCATGGGAGAAGATCGGATATTGAGTTTCAGATTTGGGAGAACTGAACTCTGTTGCTTTTGCATGCAGCTTCTTCTTGTGAAATTCGTGAAGCTTTGAAGGATGAAAACCTTCAGGAGCTCATCTATAATATTGATTGTTCCTTGGATGCCCTAAATGTGAGTTCTTCAGATCCTTCTTGATTGAAGATCTAAAATTTCCTGTTTGGAAACTGTTATTTTTATGCTAAATTGACAGATCCCTGAGTATTCATGCTGGAAATACTAGCTGAAATATTTTCATCCTTTGTTAGGAACTTGAAAAATATATGGGAGTGGAAGCTTTCTGCATGTTCACTGACAAGGTAATTGCCTTGAATTTCTTTGACTGTTTCTCTCCCATCCTTAAGCATATAAACATTTTGACTTGCCAAACAATCTTTACTGAGAACCTGATTCTCATGGGATTTTTTTTGGTCTTTCATGTGCTTTTCTTTTTCAAGGTTTTATCTAACATCAACTTATAGCTGGAAGTGGGTGTAGCAAGAGGACTGTATCTATTGCAGGAAGATGAAGTGATGATATCAAATAGTTAGTCCTCTGAGGCTGTGATCATAGTGAGAATATTTGTTATTCTATCTTGGGCCTGCTTAAGGTTTAAAAGGTTGATAAATTTTATTAGGCATGTTGAAGCTGGAAGAAAAGTTCATATCATAAAGTCGCAGGGTCGGCGTATTTTTCCTTTAACCCAAGTCCAAATCACCAACTTTGTTGTATGTAAATATTATTAGCCTGTGATGATATTTCTTGCTAGCTAGGATCATAAGAGCTCACCATTCTATCAATCAACTTCACAAACTTCTGGGTATAGAGAAGAATTGAAAAGACAAAAGGCATTGATCTTGATGATTAAGAGTCTTAAACGGGATACGGGAGAATATTATGGAGGCAGAGGTTATTTATTTATTATACCTGGAGCCTTCCATCCTCTTCACCAGAGTAGCGGTTCATTAATTTTTTATCAATTGGCTCAAGACAATCCTGATTAATGCAACAAATATTGCATACTGCAACCTTTCTCAACTTGTCACCATTTGAATTGCAAAGCAGTATATCTTCCTTTTCAATTGCTTATTCTTTCCATAGATAGCGATAACCTCTACTTTCGGTTCAACTAAGTATTCAACAAAGATAAGCTGTGAAAAAAGAAATTCCAGGTTCTAAGTTTCTATCATTTTGGATGAGTGTGTTTATCAGATGATGACAGCTTCCATCTTAATCCGAACAAGCAATTTAAAAAAAAAAACCCTAATTGGGGAATCTCATGCTACCAATGAGATTCAGTGAGTCAGTGAGTGAAATCTGGGCTGTGTCTTTTAAGTCCTGTCTCTCCTATGCTCAGAACCATACGGACTCACCGCAGCTGCCATCATCCAAACTTTCTATAAACCATACTTTTAACTCCTGTCTCTCCTATGACTCCGTGGTCATATCCGTCTATTAAATGGCCAGGTAGTGCTATCTGTATTTAACTTTCTATGCTGCAGAAGCATGAATCCGGTCACTTGAACTACCGCAGCTGCCCAAATTCAACTATAACATGTCCGGGAACGATTATCAATCAAACCAATGTACACACAGCAGACAACAGTATCAAAACCAGAAACACCCACAAAGATCCTCCATTGGACCCAAATCCAACCAGCCTCTCATTTTAAGGTTTCATAATCAACAAGTGATAACCCTTTGTTTCTTTCCTAGTTTTCCAGTTTGAATAAATAAGACGTGTCAAGGCAGAGAACAGAATATTTGCTGACAAGTGGGGAGAGAGGAAAAAAGACAAAGTCATAGTATACAAGAGGAAAACTATATTCTATGTGTTTGTAATAATTACATGTTAGCTGTATTACATCAAATTTGCTACTTGAAAAAGCTTCTCCCAGGTTGGGGTTGTCTTCTTACACTACAAAACTTCACAGGCAAATAGCCGTTCATCCGTAACATGCTCGAAACTTCAACCTGCAATGCATAAAAAAACCCACTTCAATCTACCTTCTTTTTCCACTGCAATACAAAAATGAGATAGCGACGCTCAAGTCATAGTACATAACAGTAAGGTCCCTATTTCTCATCCAATTCTCAACAAATTCTTAATTCTAATTTTCATATCAATTTGGACCAATTAGAAAACATTATTCAGTTTTCTGACATCCATAAAACATTGACTTCATACTGGAAATACACAACAATATGATTTCAACAAATTTAACCATCAAGAAAAATTAGGAGTTCACTCGGACCAACTGACATACAATGTCTTCTAGAGAGCATGACGCCTGGTTATCAATTTATCCTATATTTCAATGTGAAGAAAAGAAACCTTTACCCTATAAACTACTAAATTCAAAGACTTGTATGTTCCTTTACGCACAAGATTAATTATAAGAAGTCCCTATGCATCCCATGCAAGCTCATAGCAGGCAGACAGATATGAAGCGGCACATTCTAGAATGATAAAAAAGTTCAATGCAGTATTTGCATTGCTGTCCTATTATACTGTCATGGCAACCCAGAAATCTTGTAATGAAATAGAAATATAAACAAGGGACAGACCTGATTGGGGATTTTCAAGATTGTCAGCTTCTTTACTGGTACTTGGCTGACTAACTGCTTGGTTCTGTAAAACAAGAACTTCACTCAAAACCAGCTTAAGACCATCCAAAATGAGTGGTGAACGTATCAGCAAAAGAAAAGGTGATGCAGCAAGTTCAAGCCTTATGAAGTGCTATATCCCAGATATCTATTGCCGGTATTTCAGAAGTGCGCAGCAATACTTAATCCAAGTTGATAAGCCGGGTCATATATGTGATTATGAACAACTTACTGTGATAAGTACATCCAAATCTCAGTCCAGGAAGTATTTGAGATGCTGAAAATTACCTGCACCGGTGGCAGCTGCATCTGGGGGAGACCTAGATACTGTTGATAAGGGTCAACAAAACTTGGCAACCGGGGCTGGTTTGGATTTTGCATGCTGAATGAGTTTACCATGGGATCTGACTGGCTAGTTGCTTGGTTTCTGGATGGGCCAGGTACTGGTACAGGTGGCATCTGAAAGGCTGGCATAGGAAACCTTGGACCTAAATGAGCTGCAGCAGCAGGAGCCGGCAAGGCTGAACCTGCTAAGACATTGGGAAATGGCATCACCGGCCGACTCATTCCCATTTCCATGCCCATGCCCATACCCACTCCCATCCCCATTGGTGGTATGTACTGCTGTACGCCAGGAAACATCATTGGTACCAAGCCACATCCCATGGACATCATCTGTGGAATTCAAACATGAAAAGGATAATGAGGGGCGAAAGCCTTTATTACGATCAAAACATGTTGATTGTGGGGAATTTATCACTAAGTATATTTCATATAAACAAATATCAACAATAATCAAACTGGTTACGACTGCAGCATGATTTTGCATCAATAATACTATGGTTTGAGCAAGTACTGAATCACCAAAAACAAGAACATAAACCCACAAGGTCATTTAATAGCAGTAAACGAGTAGCTTTCATTATGGTGAAGTTTGTTCGTCCTTTCGCTGATTTGGCCTATAGATATATATACAATTGCATAGAGGAAGCTCTTTTTAATTAAAATATGGCGATGCTGATATAAGTAAATGCCTAGAACTAATACACCCAGTGATTTGCCCTATAAACACAAAAGACGTTCAAGTTTCCAACATGAAACCATGTTTAGAACTTTTCTTCCCAAATTTTCAACCTGAACGGATCCGCATTGTATATCAAAGATATATCTCTGGAATTCCTTTTACATAAATCAACTATTAATCAGAACTCCTTGGAATTTAGAGGGGAAAAGGTATCTGATAAATAGCAAAATAACATCTCGAAGTCTACGTTTATGTGATGGCCTCCAATATAAACCATTGCAGAAAAAACAAGTTCAATTAAGTTAACAAGTGTACTCCATGTCTCAGGCCATTACAGAAGGAAAATTCATTAGTATATCTGTAAGTCTCATGATCGGATCCAAAAAAATAAGTTAGGTTGAACTCACCTGCACTTGCAGCTGAAGTGATTTCAAGTACTCAATAGCCTCATCTAGCATTGAAGCCTTGTCAGACTGTCGTTAAGAAAAAAAAAAACAGTAGCAACCATATAAGTCAGATGAAAGATGGAGAATGAAAAATATGCGAAGTAGACTTCAACACAAACTGAAAGTTCAAGATAATAGCACTATGACCTTGTTGCAGCGAGGTATGAGTTCTTGCAAAGCCCTCATTTTTTCATTTATTCTATCTCTGCGCCTCTGCACATAAATGCAAGATAACATCTTTTAACACATGGAAGCAAACATTAGGTTCTATAACTTATCTAATACCCAAAACCACCAACCCTTTCTGAGAGATTGTGGACCTCTGCAGCACGGGATCTCTTTGTAGAAGTTGATCCACGAGCTTGTTTCTTTGTATCAGCAGATTCAAAATCAACATCCTTTTCAAGATCAATGTTGAAAAAGAAAGTTTCAGTTAAGGGCAGAAATATTTGCACGTTATTTACCAAAGTCACAAGATAGAAGCAATAATCCGTTTATCATGGACCATGCAAATATTATCGGACTTGAGAACCTGTCTCCACCAAGAAAATAATGAATCGATCAGTTCTTGTTGGTCTCCTTCAATTAACCATCGTCACTTGTGGTTCAAGGCCTTTTAAATTAACATGCCTTCACGCATTTTATCAACATGCCCCACGTGCAAATTTTCATCAAGCATTGGGATAATCAGAACTCAAAATTTATATATTTAACTTAATATCATGTTCAACGATTGTAACTTAAACTCAAGTTCCAGACATGTAGCTCTCGAGAATTAAGTAAATTAATGAATAATCTTAAGAGCCTCAGCTCAAGAAACATTATCAAACTTAATTATTTGTATAACTTCAACATAAACATGTAATCCAGGAACCAGTTTCATTGAATCAACCATCAAAGGATGTGCTGAACTATAGTACCCCCAGAAAAAATTATCCACCTTTCGTAGTGGCTGAACCAAGAAATCCCGTACCCAGAGAGAAAATGCCTAAGTCAGTACGCTATGTACTAAATCATTTATGTCAATCCCCTGTACATCATTCTTCTCACTTGATACTATGACTTACACATGAACTAGATCAAAGTTCATTAATCCTAGGAATGCCAGAGTTCATTAGAATTGACTTGATGTCCATATGGTCCCTGCACAGTCTTACTTGATAACATTATTTGCACTTGTGCAGAATCAAATTTGATTTGTCGAAGGAATTCCATATTGATTAAACTTGATGTCAACATATGGTCCCTGCATATTACTTGATCCTGCAATTTGTTTATGAAAAAGATCAGACTTTATTAGTCCCAGGAATGCCAAAAATGAATGAGAATTGCACTTAATGTCCACAGTGGTCTCTTCATATTATTGCTTAATACTATGATTTGCATATGAGCAAGATCAAACTTCAATAATCCTAAGACTCCACAATGAATGAAACTTGATGTCACGACAGCCACTACATATTATTTGATACAGTGATTCGCACATGAACAAGATCAACACTTCACTTATCCTGGGAATTCAATAAATGAATGGTTCTATAGACCATAGGGATTTTCATGCCTACATAGTTCCTTGAAATGTTTCGTTAGCAACTTGTGTAACAGAGTTGATTTTTCTAAGTAAAAATTATTCTAGAATGACCAGAACTTCGGATTGCTTCATCCTCATAAATCAAAGGCTTGGACATATTTAGTTGAAGAAGAGCTTTGAAACTATATCCAGAAGCAACCACTTCAAATTTGACTAGTTGAACTCCATAAAATACAACACATTGGTCCTTTTCCCTCACATAATCTAATTTCTCTTTCCTCCAGGCATGTACATTACATTCCTCTAAATATCTTTAAACACCAACATCACAAACTTCATTCCAATTACTTTACTTCCCAAGACAAAACTGGCACAGAAGCAACAATTTGGTGATGGCTGATCCAATCACGTGGTGCCCCCAAACCTTCAAAACAACAAAGACTCCTCAACTAATTCTTCCCTCTCGAAGCAACACTTTTTTTTTTTTTTTTTGGCATATCCTTGTTGAAGCAATTTATCAGCTACTTTGAACAGTCACATGACAATGAAAGACATCAACATTACTGACGAATTCAAAAACCAACAAAAACACATCTGGGTACCTACTATAACTTGAAAGTAGCAAACACTTTTTATTCATTTGCAGAGGATGTTATTGTTTCTTGACCAAAGTAGGAACAGGGAGTAGTCTAACTTTTGATAAGGCAATTAAGATTTGATGAGCTACCTAAGTTTCATTTCTCGAGCAATGTCAATTTCCAATGCGTACCGTAAATTAAGTAATAGTACGCAGTCCGGCAATGTGAGGGAACAAAGCAAAGGGTTAATAACACAAACTGACAAGCACTTAGTTTAGAAGTAGTAGGAGGTAAATGAATAAAATAAGCCAAGTTCTTCGGTAGCGTGCTAATTGCAACCCCGATTATTCACGAATATCCTGTCAGATCCCCTTCCATTCCCGCGATACAAATAGCAAGTCCAGCTTCAACCACGTGTACAGGAACTACCATGTGTACAAGTAAGGCGGCGAAACTAAACAACACCTGTTGGCCAGTAAATGACTTCCATTTACATGTATATATATATATCTCTGTTTTTTTGTTTGAAAGGAAAATCTGGACTTTCATATCAATTTGCAGGCAGCTTTCGTAAGTTGTAAGGGGTGCATCCAAACCACCGCCAATTCGGTGGTATAAAATTTTTACCTTTTTGTTTTAAAGCTAGTAAGAATGCAGACTTTACTGTTTATAAATATAGTTAATTTATTCGATAAAATTATAATTTAATCCATTATTAAATCCGTAAAATTAAAATGATTATCCTAAATTTAATTTTGACGAACAATTAAATTATTTTTCAAAACAAAAAACTAAATTAACTTTTTATTTAAAAAATAAATAAATAAATTCAAACCATCCCTGGGTATCCAAAAGGAAGAATATTAAATATTGCTTGTACATTCAAGTTGGCTTTGGTTGTGGGGCCCCTTCTTATAACGTCCCTCGACCCAAATTTGTGTGCGATACGTCCACCCAGAAAAATAGCGTAATGCTTGCTAATAATTTCCCCTTATACTTGATATGACTTCCTATTGGTGCTCTTTTTTAATTACAATTTAAAATAATTAATTCTTAATTTAAAACTAATTCTATCAATTAGTATAATTTATTAAAGTTAAATAGAATAATTACTGTAATTATCCCTGCAAAAGAGAAAGATGCACGGTACTCACCTCGCTATGACCCGACTCGATGTCATCCATCTCTCTTCCCTTACGTTTCCGGTCTTCAGCCGCCGGCTTCTGAGGCGGATCCGCACTTGCGCTCGAGCAGCCTGGAGATGAAGAAACAGTCCCCTCGCACGTCAAAGGTTCCTTCCCTGCGCTACTGCCTCCATTAACGCCCGGGGCAGCAGATGATGTTCCAACCGCTGCAGGGCCGCTGATGGTCCTGCACAAACTGTTGCCGCCAGATGCCCTCTCCGTGCTCCTGATCGCATCCGACGTCCCCGACTCCGGCCCCGCAGCCGCGTGCGTGTCGCTCGAATCCACAACCGTTAGTTCCTTCACCACCGACTTCGAGCTTGATGGCACAGACTCGACCCTCGCCTTGTGCCTCGAGAAGTGCGCAAAGTTCTGCACTCTCGTCTCCAGTTCAGTTTTCCTCGCCGGTGCTATCGGTGGCCTGGACGCGGTTGCCACAGCGGGAACTTGAGCCGCACGGACCGGGTGCGGAACGGAGGCTGAGGTGGAGGTGGAAGTGACACAGGGCGAAGGATAGAGGAGATCGGCGCAAAGATCGCCCTCGAAGTTGGTATCCTGGAGAGGATAGTGGAGCCAGGACGTCATTTCGTCTTCTTGCATAAAGAGATGATCGGTGGTGGATTGCTGCTGCTGCTGATGCTGATGCTGATGATGTTGGTGATTGTGTAGCAATGGCGGTTGGATCTCCATGACCGTTGATTGGTTGCCGGGGAGAACTGCCTCGTCATATTTAGAAGGCGGTGATTTCTTGGGCGGTCTCTGCGTTTGGCTGTGCATAACCACTTGGCCGTTGTGCCATAGCAGCTCCATGATATCATCGTCCGCCCTGTTTAGAGAATTAAACTGGTTTTCAACCAAAAAGAAAAACAGAAGAAGAGAATTTATAGAATTTATCGTGTAACTATTGAGTACAAAAATAAACGAAAGAGTTGATTACATGGATGATTTTCTGGGGCAAGGCAAGCCTGAAGCTAGAGGGATTGAATAATCATCGTCTATCTCAAAATCAGGCACATAGTGATTCATCCTCCTTAAAGACCTATAACTATCTACAAATCGAAAGCAAATGAAAACATCAAATCGATGGGGAAACAGAGGAGTAAAAGTTGAGATTGAGGACTGACCTGGAGGATTCCAAGGGATTGATTAAGCGAGGAAGAGGATGGGAAGGCGACGATGGCGGCCGCATAAATGAATAGACAAGGCAAAGTCGTAAAGTGAATTGACGTCAACCCTAACACTTGGGGGTAGCTGGATTTGAACCACAACAGCCCCCTCTGTTATCTCTGTAACTGTAAGTTAGTTCTAATATTTGGGTAGATTAAGGTTTCATAGACTGGGACTCTGCAAAGCCACTACGATGAGAGAGAGAGAGAGAGAGAGAGAGAATCATTTTCATCTGTGAAGATACCTGGAGAGAAAATGCACAGATGACGGGAAATTTCTCTCTTTATTTATTTATTTATTTATTTTCTTAAGAAAAAAGAGGGAGAGAGAGAGAGAGAAATAGGGCTCGTGAGATTTTCTGTTGGCCGTTTGTGTCTCTCGTGCTTCAGCTCTGCGCTTTTCCTCGCAGAAGGGTAGATAAGACCTCAGACTCTCCCCCAAGCAAAAGACGAATGTAATTTTTGACGCCATTCAGTATTCATTCAATTTTTGCCCCCACCCCCCATACTCTCTCTTTTTTTCTTTTTTCTTTTTTTTTTTTTAAATGCTATTTTCCATTCATTTAATAATTAAAAAAAAAAAACAAAAATCTCAACCCTCCATTGCGTACAATCATATGCCTTCTTCATTGCAATCATTCTGTTGCCTGCTTGAGTGAGAAATGTACAAAAATCTCAACCCTCAAAACTTACTAGTTTTCAATTCGGGTAAATATTATATTTATTTCTCTTCATAATATAAAGATAAGCTTGTCATCATTTTTATAAGCAAGTAATATAATATGATGGTAAATACTCTTTCTTTTTTTTTTTTTTACTATAAGGCTAAAAATATGTGGATGTGATTGCATTTGATGGATTTTACTTTTCAAGAAGCATAAAGCAGATCCCAGATGAGATTTTACTTGCGTGGACAAATAGACAGGAGTAGCCATGTGGGTCCTGCTATCCCTGATTTAGCTGTGAGAACATGCATGGATGGCAGTGGATGTCAACTAATCAAGATTAATAAATATTTACAGAAATTATTAAATTAAATAACCCACAGCAACTTCTTTATGATTACCTTTTTTTTTTTAACTCACACTTTTAATTGAATATTTAATCCTTAACTAATTACTTTTAATTTTTAATATATTTTAGGTATTTACATTGAATATAAAATATTTTAATTATTAGAAAACAGTAATGTGATATTGGTGTATAAATTATTATTATTTTTTTATTTTTGGCATTTGACGTTAGATTGGGTTGTTGGTACGTGATGATTGATAATTAATTAATTAATTAAAGTAGTGTTTTTCTTTTAATTAACATTTTTCAGTTTGTTTATGTTTGTTTATGTTTGTCAGTGGATTATGCCAGGTCTAAGGAGCGAATGTTGTGGATAACTGTACTAAGCAAAATTAAATACTTAATTAGAAATAATCATTGCATGCAATAATTTAATTGCTGCACGCTAATGCCTTTTTTTTTATTATTATTTTTTTTTTAATATTCAAGGAGAAAATTGACAATTAACGGTAAACCGTCTTCTAATGCAATTAATTAAAGTTTAATTTATTTATTTATTTTTTAAATAATTTTTCTCCGTAAAAAAGCTTAGCAGGTCCATCGTACCCTTTGTTTGTTTTTGTTTTTGTTTTTTTTTTTTATTTTCCCTCTCTCTCTTTTTGTTGTACAATCAGATTAGATCAGAAGATTGGGAAAAGGTGGTACTAACCCAAAATGGCTAAAGTTCAAATTTATTATACTCATTAATAATTAACATGTTCTGACTTCATATTATTGAAGTCTTAATTTGTAAAATTTTTATTCTTAAATATAATAAGATTAATTATTGAATAAGTATTTGAATTATTTTAGTTACTTAATAGTAAAATTTATAATTTCTTAACAATTAGATCATCATATTTTGGGTTTTATGTTAATAATTTTAAAAATATTATCTTTTTATTAATTATAAGATTAATAATGATAAGTAAAATATAAAATTAACAAATGAATAAATCCAAATCAGTAATGGAGCATAATGCTTTTACTTTTTAACATTTCCAACATCTTTTCTCCCTTTTTTTTTTTTATAATTTTTTCTTTCTCTTTTTTCTAAATCAAGTGATTTAAAAATGTCTTTTTGTTTCTTAATTAGTTTAGTGATTATGAATTAAACAGAGTTAGTGTCATGTATTTTAGGAATATAAATAAATTAGCATATATAATAAAATTTAAAATATATAAAATCATACTTACAAAATACGTCAACATGTATATATATATATTTAAAAAAAAAAATGTAATAGAAGAAAAGTATTAGAGACTAGTTGGAAAGAATAATGTTGAAGGGGTGGGACGGATGAGGAACATTTTTTCTCTCTTTCTACATATGCACTGTCCCTCTATTTTCAAGCATATGCTATGTCTACTATTTTTATTTATTTATTTATTTCATATAATTATTCATTTTCATTATTATATTATATGCTCTCTATCTCCTTTATTTTTTTTTTCAAAATATTTTATTACGTATTATTTTAACCATCCCCTTTTCTCTGCAAAATTTATCTTTAATTTCTTCCATTTTTTCTTACCTCATTCATTACAATTATACCCACTAAAACAAAATCTATCTTACAAAATTTCAATAATCACCAATCATTGAATCTGCCCTTTTTTTTTTTTTTTTTTGGTTTTTAAAATTGGGTTTTGGATGTAAAATAAAATGAAACTGAATTAATGATTGATGGGAAGGAGACATATATTATAAGAAGCAATTCTTGAAAATGGACCATATATATACTCCCATCTCATTACTCTTGTTTCCTCCATCATTATGCATTAAACTACTATATCTTTCTCCGTCTGTCGCCCCCATATGCAAGCTATCATTGTTTATGGCCTATATATATACACACATATATATACAAATCTTATACAGCAACTATCTACTACCTCTAATTAATAGTATCACTAAGATCATATATTATATAATATTATGTTAACCACATTTAGCTTCATTAGTCGAGAAAAAAATTGTTACAAATAACTATAGTGGATATATATGTATATTAATGTGCAAATTAATTTTCTTAAAAATAAATAATGACTATTATGATTATTATATAATTTGATGAGATTAGTGGATGGTTATTTGAGGAAAAGTAAATTGCATCGTAAGGCGCGAGGACGTGGCACGGGTTGAGCGTGCCATGTTGGCTGGTTAACCGACAAGTCGGGTTCCATGCGGGTGCGGGTCCCACTTATCCTCTCTTCCACCCACCACTTCCCCGCCTGCACCCACATTATCCCTCCCGACCCCCGAACCCGACCCGACCCGAATCGACTCGACTCTGACTCCATTTTGCCTACCAAAACAAACCGTGAAAGTGACACAAATTGAAAATCATTCATAAACATGACCGTATTTAATTTTTGTCAGAACAAATAATTATACAAACTGATAAGGAAATATTATATATATATATTTTTTAATTTTTTATTTAGATATTTATTTTTTATTCAAAATACATTAGTATTAATTAATTTTTAAGAATTAATAGCATGTGCAAATATTTAATAATTTTAAATATAATTACAGATAAAATGGTGGATCTACACTATCAGTAATTTATAAGATCCATGCAATTATTATTCTTAATTACTAACACTAAAAAGTAAATTAATGTACATGTATTTTTTTTTTATCACAAAGTTCAAAAAACAAAAAAATACATTTACAGTCATCGGGAATGAAGAATACAACATATATAGGATCGAAAAACATATATATATATATATATATATATATATATACACACACACACACACACACACACAAATTGCTTATGAAAAAATAGAAAATAATTATTCGCAAAACAGAATAATAATCTTATGAAGGTTTTCTTCCCTCCTCATATTTATGCACTCCGTTAATTGACGGAGTTTTCTAATCAATAGATACAAATTATACGGTGAAGTCAGCAAAATTTTTACCCTGCATTTTCTACCTCAAATTTTACCTCGCAATTAGTCAGAAATACGGCAGCCCATCACCATAATTTCACGTAATTTCAATTTTGATTAAAAATATAAAAATAATTTTAGATATAATATAAGATGAGGCATCAATTTTATCGAAAAAGGAAAGTGGGAAGAAGGAAGATGAGGTATCGGCAGAGAGAGAATGATGGTTGAGCATCAGGTGACAGCAGCAGCAGGCAGGCAGGTTGACCGTGAAAGTATACTATAACCATAACTATAACTATAACTATATATATATATATATTTGGTAATTTGAAAGATCTGCAACATGTGAGATTCCATTCGTGTGTTTTCATGGCATTTACAGACTGATAAATGCCTTCTATGTCTAAAGGCATTGAACTCAGTGTATGGTCCATTATATTATTACACACATACATACATATATACATATACATAAATAAATATATATATATATATATATATTCAAACAAAAAACCCTACAGTCTTTTACTATATATATGTAATGTTAATTTTTTTTTTTAAAAAAAAAAAAAGATAAAAAAGGCAGATGATAGACTGCGCTGAAGTTGTACGTGGAAGCGAGACACGATGAAGTTGTGGATAGGTAATTTGAAGATATTATGTAATTAATTAAGAGTACATACCAATAATTAGTGATAGTGACAATATGTAACATCTAACCTAACCACTAACCAAATTTATTGAATTTTTTTTTTTTAATAAAAAAGGTGAAAGCGATTGTTGACCAGTAAATAAATATATGTCACCGACGAGAAAAGATAATAATAATTCAACTTTTGTTGACTCTGATTTTTTATTGATCCAAACACACCATTATTCTAATCTCTCAGATAAGTTATATATACATACATACTGCAACAAGTTGTAGTGCATTGACAGGTCATGTGGGGGGGAAAAAAAGCACTTTCTAATTTTCACTTTTTGAATTTTATATTTAATTATAACCCATTTAAAATTGTAATATAAAATTATTAACGTCGTCTAAATTTGATTTTGGATTTCCAGGAGAAAAAAACAAAAAACAAAAACAAAAACAAAATAATGTTCACGTACTTGATTTATGCAGTGGTCCAATAATGGATACACGTACCTGTACAAACTCTTAAAAACATCATCCCTGCATTTATTTCTCTCACATATATCTATCCATCTATTATACAAATAATTCTTAGCAGATAGAATACTAACTTTTGATTACACACGAATCTCATCTGCTTGCTCACACACTCTCTCTATTATATTTTAATAGAAGTAGATTTCAAGTACCATGTGGTAATAATTTCTGCATAAAAAAAAAAAAAAGTACCACGGAATATATATATATATATATAAAGAAAAAGAAAAAAGAAAAGGTAGCGTGGTGTAAATTGTTCACCCAAAAAAGTCAAATCTGCCCCCTTGTGTATCAATGTTTTTTGTGTTTTTGGATAATGAAGAGCAATGTAAATTGATTAGTGCTCGATTTTCTAAGTCAACAACACCTCGAAATCAAAGAGCATGTAGTACATAAAAGAATACTACCGAAAATCCAAGAGGATGCAAAGTTTGACACTTTAGAAATTCATTCTCTTCGTATTGATTTTGTGTTCTTTGTCCCCAGATTTTCAACGAGTAACCACGGCTCATTCTCAAGTTTATCTTTTTCGTTTTAGATTTGCCACTGTTTAGTAATCGTGTCTAAAAATCCTACAAACTCCACGAGTGAGAAAGTTGTTTGTATGGGCTGTTTGTATTTCCTTTAAGTCTAGTATTTGTCTTGTCTGCTTGGAGATTTATGACATGGCTTGTTCTCAGATCTCTCATGATGAAAGGGGGAATCTTGAATTTACTAGTGAATTGATTGACATATTCACGTACAATCTGCACCACCATGTCAATTACTTCCTTTCTCCCTTTAAAGTATATCTATCAACATTTCTTTGTTCTTTATTTTGACAGGAAAGAAGTCCTTCCAACTACTTTTTATTGTTTGATTCACTTGTTTGATAGAGGAAAAGGACAAAGGGAACTGATAAGAAGATGAATAAATGTTGCATGAAGTTTTGTTGGCTACTCATTGGCGTATGACCATGGATGGTTCATAGCAAAATTAGGCAAACATTAATAGTCGGAAGCAGAAACGTTCTTGTAACTTCAGCTGTAAGATTCTAGAAAAATTCTTTTAGTACAAATGTTATTGAATAGCATATTTTCCTTGGAAAAAGTGACGAGGGGTTTCCTTCAGTGGGAACAAGCATTTTCGATCGGCTAGGCTCCAAATGAAATGGGTTAAATTTGGGTAATCAAGTCTGGTATCATTGATGGGTGTTGGAATTTTCAACGGGTTGGAGCTGAAGGGAAATGGAATTGATGGGCGCGTTGGATTGTTTGGACAAAAATAATAATAATAACAGAATAAATTGGACAGCATAGATTTCCCTTGGTATAGATGCTCAATAACTGATCTGAACTTACAAAAAGTATTGACCCCCCAAGAATTACACCGTCCTTGAGGGAAAAATTAAAGTATAAACAAGAACTGAAATCGAAACCAGTTGGAAGGACTAACCTACTTTTTCTGTTCCTCATCTGTTTACACAGCTCAAAGAAGAAGCTGCTGGTATTTGCAGCATCATCAGTCCCATAAGCTAACCTAATATTCCATTCCACCCATGCCACCGGCCATGGCTGGAACCTCCTCCTCCTTTGGAAGTTCAACCACAATTGCCTCAGTTGTAGTCATTAATGAAGATACACTGTATAACACCAAGTAATTATCAGATGTGCTTGAATCGAAGACCTAATAAAGCTTATGGTTATTAACACATTCTTCCGTTATTACCTTGCAGAATCCACCAATGCGGTCCTTATGACTTTCAGGGGATCAATGATTCCTGCCTTTATCATGTCTACATATTCACCTGTAACAATAAGAGAAAGAAACATTCTTACCCGTGTTAATGAGCCGATAACTCTTGATGCCCTTGCTTATTATTTGTTTTGAAACATGACAAACCTTTGGCTGCATCATATCCAAGGTCAGGATTATCCTGTTCCAACAACTTGCCAACCACAACAGCCCCCTCAACGCCAGCATTGGTTGCAATTGTGTGAACTGGCATCTGCAGAAAAATATACACTCAAGAATTTCAGACATTTTTTTTCAAATAAATTCATCAGCGTTTTTATAAATATTAGACTCATCAACGAAGAACTTTGGCTCACAAATATCCACATTGAAAGGATCACTCGAGATTTTTAGCATAACACTAATTTCGTTATTTCCTTGAGCTAGCCAGAAGAGTGGCTCGGGATTCAATGTTTGATCACAAAGAACACAAGGAGAATAAAGAAAAGCTAGAACCTTAAGGGCATTCTGGATAATTTGAACACCAATCTTCTGATCAAAGTTTGCAGTCGGCAATTTTTCCAGTTCCTTGGAGGCATAAAGAAGTGCAACGCCACCGCCTACAATAGGGCTCTTGAGTTACTTTTAACAAGGACAGTCTGGAAATAAAACATGGGTTATAACCAACAAAAAGCTCACCAGGGACAATCCCTTCCTCAACTGCAGCCTTGGTAGCATTTAGCGCATCAGTTACTCTATCCTTCTTCTCACCTACTTCTGCTTCACTGGCGCCACCAATCTACAGTGAAATATACTTCTATTAGCATATTGTTTAAACACTTATTACTTAAACAGTCAGAAGCAACAACAAAATGGTCAGCAGAGCTCAGTAATGATTCTACAATACTCCACCCACACTGAGAAGAAGAGATGGTTAAAGGATTGTTAATGGAACCCAACCTTCAATACTGCAACACCACCTGAGAGCTTTGCAAGACGCTCTTGTAACTTCTCCTTATCATAATCAGAGGAGCTTGATTCAACTGCAGATCTCAGCTGCAACAACAATGCATGTGATAAATCAATCTAGACAACAAAACACACTAAACTCTCTACAACAGATATATATACTACATAAAGTCAATCAAAACAAACCTGCTCGCATCTTTCTTCAATGGCCTTTTTATCACCAGCCCCATCAAGGATAACAGTGTCATCCTTTGATATTGTAACCTATAATTGCAGCAGAGAATAGCACAAATAATGAAAATCAATATGAAAAATAAAATTAGCATCTAGTAATTTAAAAATAGACTCATTTATTGAATTTGTTAGGAAAAATAACTGTTCAAGTATGAAAATGGGCAAGTACCCGTTTTTGACATCTTACCTTTTTGCACGTGCCAAATGTTTCTGGTCCTATGTTTTCAAGGTTCATCCCAAGCTCTTCACTTATCACCTAATTGTTATTACAAAGACAAAAGGAACAAGAACACATATATTTTCATTTCACATGACATAAGTGTGAATGAAAAATGAAAAAAGAAAAAACTTATAAAGAACACACCTCGCCTCCAGTGAGAACAGCAAGATCCTGCAGACCAGATTTCCTATTTTCTCCAAATCCAGGAGCTTTGATGGCACACACCTCCAAGTAATTTCCAAACAATGAATTTTCATTATTTAATGTCATAGTCACTTAATCTACATAGCTTTTTAATAGTCAGAGATAATTTTCATACAGACTAAAAAGCATAAGAATACCTTGATTCCAGCACGAAGCTTGTTTAGAATTAGAGTTGCCAGGGCTTCACTTTCAATGTCTTCAGCAACAATCAGAAGGGGCCTCTGCGTCTGAGAAAACAACATTATTAGCAACTAACTGAATGGTGAAACAACAATCTTTCGCTTTCCACAAGCAAGGATTGCTTACCTTCAATGTTAACTCTAGTACTTTCACAATGGCATTCAAATTAGATATTTTCTTCTCATGGATTAAAATGACTGGATTTTCTAATTCCTGAAGAATTAAAACCATTAAAGCGTTAAACTAACACCATTTATGAAGCAACACTGCAAGAACTAAAGAAGAAAAACAACAACCAAACAGGTCAAGTAGCATAACAAAAAATATGATAATGTGTGTGAGATGACCACTTACACATTTTTGGGTCTTTGTATTTGTAATGAAATAAGGAGATATATAGCCTCTGTCTAGCTTCATTCCTTCAACAACCTCCAATTCATTGTCCAAGGTTTTCCCATCCTATAAAGGTTTTTGCAAGGAGAAGAAGATTCACATACTGATTAGTACCTGTAACCCATCTGATTCTGATCCTAGTGAAAGCAGTTTATATCTTGTCGATGTAACAGAAAATGCAGATATTTTAACACTCATTTGTGCATTCTCCCTGTAAGGTACAGACCGCACCATGCCAAATCAACCAGTATAACAACAAATAAAACCTAAGAGTAGAATCCATAGTTTGCACATATTCTCAAGCAGAGGCAGGGAACATTTCTCCCCAGACCAAAGATTTTCCCAAAGAAAATGAAACATTAAGCAATTTTCATTGAGCATATATATAATCCCGGTGCTGATAAAACCAAAGAAAGCTGAGATGAACTCACAGCAATAGTGATAACACCCTCTTTGCCTACTTTCTCCATTGCCTTGGCTATGAGCTCACCAATTTCTCTTTCTCCATTTGCTGATATTGTTCCCACCTTTTTATGAAAGGTTCATATCAGTGAACCATAACCCATAATACCACAACAATCTGCCCTCATTTCAGGACAAGAAAAGGACTACGTAAAGCAAAACCTGTGCTATTTCTTCAGATGTGCTGATCATTCGCGCTCTGCTCTTCAAGTTGGTCACAACAGCATCAACTGCCATTGTAATCCCTCGTCTTAAGTCCATGGCATTCATTCCAGCTGCCACTGATTTGCATCCTTCAGTAAATATTGCACGGGTGAGGACAGTTGCACAAGTGGTGCCTACAAGGAGGTATCATAAGTTTGACATCAGTATCACTTTTCGTCTCTAGAAAATCTTTAGTACAATGTTAAGAACATGCAAAACTACTGTTTTTAGAGAAAACACATCAATGTCAAACACAACAGCACAACAGAAGTGAAAAAAGAAGTAGCTTGATCTATGAACTTCCTATTTCAATGTTTAAATCCTGACCATCGCCTGCCACATCATTGGTAGCATTTGCAACCTGCTTTACAAGGCTAGCTCCAACATTCTTAACTTTATCTTTGAAATCAATGCTCTTTGCTACAGTAACACCATCTTTTGTCACTTTAGGGGCCCCAAAACTTTGTTCCAAAACAACATTACACCCCTGCATAAAATGAAATGCAATTAATGAACTTTTGTTGAAACAATCTTCATATTACCTCAAAGGCTTCAATGACATTCCATTTCAACAAAATATTGCACAAATAGAAGAAGGAAAATGTTTTTAGCACCCCAAACCAATTACAGATTTAAATGTCAACCGTGGACCTCAACAACTGTAGCAAGAAGATTTAGATACACCTATGACACGGTGGAAGGATGAAGAAATAGACACACAATAACAAGAACTTTCGAAACGGAAAGAAAAATATAGCCGAATGCAGAACTTTCATGTCTTCCCAAAATACCATGCATCTCAAATTCCTCGTTGTGGAAGGATGCAGTTTGTATAAAGATCATAGTAAAGTACAGCAATAAAGCTGCTACAGTCAGACTGCTGCAGAAACACCAGGAATTTCAGGAGAAACGATCGATAACAAAGCTCCAGTGCAGTATAACAAAATAAACAGCCTCATTTCCGTTTCTCAGAAAGCTTTCTAGTTTTACAGCAGCCATTGCTCCAAAACTTTATCTTCCAACAAAACTAAAGCACAAGTATATTAACAATAAAAAAGTGAAAATGATAAAACTAACGCATTAAGGATGACTATATGACATACTTTGGGCCCCATGGTCACTTTAACTGCATCAGCAAGTTCCTCAACACCTTTAAGCATTAACGCACGAGCTTCGACCCCAAATTTGATGTCTTTTGCCGCATAGTTTCTGCTCCAATTCAGTCGACTTCCAATCTGAACAAAGTGAAATTTATAAATTCAGATAAATTTCCAATTGAATAAACAACCCAAATGGGAAAACCTGTCACTGAGAGAGGAAGAAGATCACCTGCTGAGTACTATTCTTAGTCAACCTGAATGGGAAGACACCAACAAAAAATTACAAAAATGAGACAAACCCGCATAAGAAAACAAGGAAAAAATTCAACTCTTTTGATTATAATCCTTTTGAGGAGTAAAACCTTTTTACCTAGCTTTTGAAGCGAGGCCAGACGCAAAGCGGTACATGTTCGTGAAGTTGCAGAAAATGATGGACTCGAGAGAGATCGCACTTGGGTTTAGGAAGGGTTTAAAGAAAAGAGTAGGAAGAAAGATGAAGACCAAACAAGGGGAACGTGCGATTTTGACAAGGTCAAGAGCTCAGGGTTTTCGGAGTTCACGGTGGCATTAGGCTGGGTTTGGGCCTTTGATTTTGGGGCAGGAGGCTTTTTAAAATGAATATTATACATGGTGATCCCATTTCATATATTAATCCCTCAAAACTTCTCGCATATATTATAACATTTATTATAGTTGCAAATAAATTCGATTAAAAGAAAATTCATCCAGCTTGATAAAATGATATTATATTTATTTTTATAACTTATTAAAACAACTATAAATACACAATTTATCCATATTAAACTAATTAATGTAGCTTATACTCACTTCATTATTGGTAAGTTTATATGATCAAAAATATTATTATATTTATGTAGATTTTTATTTTTATGATTATAAAAGTTTGAATTTTTAACATTTAGATTTTATTTTTTTACAAAAAGATTATAAAAAAAAAAAAATTTAACGAACACATTCTTTTGAAGGTAATATATGTATGCATTGTAATTAATAACAATAACTTTTTGTACAATATTATATGGTTATTATTATAAGAGAATTATTTTTAACGATTAATCTCTAACGAAACGAAAGAAATATTTTTCATTATTAGTATAATAGTCTCTCTAATTGTTAGAATATTTAAAAAAAATTATTGAATTCTTGCCTAAACTTAAGAGATACGTAAAAATATTTCTTTAAATACTCAAATTACTATAAAAATAAACTTTCTTAAGATAGATATATCTTTATTAAATTTTGAGTAACATAATAGATTATTTTCGAATTTAACTCTTTTAAGTTGAATAATAGATAAGATAAATATAAATAAATAAAAAATTAATTCAAAAATTAGATTTCAAAGATCTTAGTTAAAAAGTAATATTAATGTAAATCAAATTTGCAAGTTTTTAAACTGAAACTATTTTTATTTATTAAAAGCTATTTCATACCATAATTTCAAATAAACATGCTTGTTGAAATACTTTTTAATCATAGGAGACTTAGTGATAGAATTATATACTTTAAAAAAGATGCAACATTTACTTTGCTATTACAAATTGCACATAACATAAACAAAATAAAATTTTGATTACACTCATTTCTTTTTGAAGACACATAAATTAGGCACTTATTTTTGCCTTTGCGTTTATGATAATAATGCGAAATTGGAAGACTTCTTTTCAGACATTTTTTACTGTAATCTTTTACCCATATAAAAAATTTAGTTTTGTAAATTCCAAATTCATATTTAATTCTACATTACATCTCTTCGATAATTTTTTAAAAAAATTTTATCGAACAGAAAATAGCAAGTATCTTAATTTGAAATAAATTTATCATTTTGTATCTCTCTTAATTTTCTAACAAATTTTAAATTTATTTTCTCTTATAATTTCTACATAGATAGATATTCTGATACTTAATTTTATTCGCAGAAACTTGTAATAAATAAAATTAATTTTAACAACTTTGATATAGTTTATAACTTTCATAATATATATATATATATATATATAAGAGTAACATTTATTATTTTAAAAAAAAATTCAAATTTAAAAATATTTTATTTTCTAATCATTTTAATTGGTGTGACCCAATATAAACATATTTTTATAAATAAATAAATAAATAACAAAATAAAAGAGAGAAATAAAAAAAAAATCAATTCTATCAAATCCAAATCTATATGTCTCCATGCATTGGGGTGGGGGGAAGAGAATCATACAACATTAATTAATGCTAAAAATAGATGTTATTAAGAACTTGAAATTAAAATTAAACGATCCAAGCATATTGTCTTAATACAATGAAAATTAATTTCTTAAACATAAAGAATTTAACTGAAATTACTAAATCCTACATCTGGGTTAAATATCGTAAATTAATTCAACTCAAAGTTGTTGAGGATGGAGACGAGTTTAGCCTTGGTTAAAGGCTTCTCTTCGTAGTAATCAAGGCCAGCTTCAATGAACTCCTGTCTCTCCCTCTCCGAGGACGAAGTTGATACTCCAGCAATCCTGCTTCGAATCCCCATTTCACGAAGCTTCTTTGTTGCCTGCACCCATCATAAACCTCCATTAATATATATCTGTATACACATTAATAGCATATAATGCTTAAAAGTTATATAGTATAGTATACACCTCAAGACCATTCATGACAGGCATTTCCATGTCCATGAGAATCAGATCAAAGATTTTCCCAGCAGAATACAGATCAACAGCTTGCTTTCCATTAGCCACCATCTCAGTTTCGATACCCAGATTGTCAAGAAGCTTCTGGTGAATGGCTCGGTTGACCATGTTGTCATCCACAATAAGGGCTTTGATCTTCATCTTCAACGATTCTTCTCGCATCATCGTCCTGCTATACAGTCTCTCTCTCTCTCTCTCTCTCTCTATATATATATATATATATATATATGTATATGTATATAATGACAGCAGGCGAAAGAGTAATTGGTTTAGATAACTAGAGTGAGTTAGTGAATTAGGTCGAAAGAAGATGCTTTTGAAAGGAAGAACGAGGGTTGATTATATAGAGAGGCTAATGAGACATATATTGCATGGAGTGATTTCATGTTGGGTGCCGCTGGTTTTAAAAAAAGCTGCAGTGGAAAAAGTAGCGAGAGGATCATTTAACTGGGATTGTGTTGAAAATCACAAGATCATTAAAGTCTGATTCTATTTCCTCCTTTAGGAGAATATCTAAAGAACCCTTTCTCTCCAATACTAAAGTTTTTTTGCTTAACAAAGTATTTAATCAAGATCTTAATCTTAAACGATCATCTCTCACTCAAATTCTTTATTATTATTATTTTTTTCTTAATTTCTTTTTGTCTTTTTAATTTTTGGATATTGCTTGATTTACTTTTGTGATAGTGGTTTCTAATAATACATAATTTCTGAAACGTTTAATAGTAATTATGTTAGATATCAACTTTTCTTCTCTTCTCCTGGTTTGGAGCTCTAAAAAAGAAATGTATCATCTGGGTAATACGTAATATTGTTGAATCTAATCCCTTAAATATCTGCTACGACATTCTTTCTAATTCTGACTCAACACAAAACTTTAATTCAAACCATACTCATTTCCTTTTTATTAGCAATAGATTTGGTAGTCTTGTTGATTAATATGCCATATTTAGATCATCATTAACTCGTCTAGATCATTTACAGTGTCCATTTATTTGATGATCATACTATATATATCTAAAGGTTTGTCCCAACTTGTTCTAATTTATTATTAAATTATTTTTTTTTAACATGTCAGTACTAATTTAAGATTTCTTTTTTTTTTTCGAATGTTATAATAAAATAGAAATCATAAAAAAAAAATAAAAAAAAAAAATTCATGATGAAGTCATATATATGTTGGCAGGTGATACATTATCCAGATTAATTAAATAACATAAAAATAAAAAAAAAAGGCATTTAAAGTTGTGATTAAACGTTAGCAGATAAGGGTTTGAAATTTAGCCTATTATAAGGTGTACAATATGAAGATTTTGTGTAAGAGAATCAATCGATAAACAGAAAAAGTCCAATAATGCATAGAGAGGTAGTAAATGATATTTTCTATCATCTATTTCAAGCTTATATATATATACACACACACACACAAACGTATAAAGTTTATGGAATGTGACAGTACTGGTTAATGAGAATTTATTTTCGAGATATATATATATATATTTTATTTAATACATATATATTTATGTTTAAAATTAAAGATAACATATTATTACGAAGTTTTATTTGTTATATGATTTAAAGTTG